AACACTGTCTTTTCTATCATGTTAAGCATACGAAAGAGGTCTGTGAAATCTAGACTGGCCTAACCCTAGCTGAAACCAAATCGTCCACTTTAACCCCTTTAGAGCCACTGGGGTATAAATTGTTTCGGGCCCATTTAAACCCCTGTGAGGTTCTTTTTTCTGGACCATTTTGTGTTGAGCAGATGCGCAACGAAGTGCTCTTTCATTTCATGTGCGGAAACCATAGCTTGGAACAAGCTTTAAGCCTTTCCTGAGCTAACCCTAATTGATTTTTCAAAATTAGGCTTAACCCCAACCTTAACACTAGGCTTAACCCTCACTAACCCTAAGTCTTGGTGGCCCAGTGGTTCGCGCACTTGCCGGGAATATTTGAGGTCCCTGGTTCGACTCCCTGTCTAAGCTTTTGAAAAATTATTTTTTTGCTAAGGCAAACACTGTCTTTTCTATCATGTTAAGCATACGAAAGAGGTCTGTGAAGTCTAGACTGGCCTAACCCTAGCTGAAACCAAATCGTCCACTTTAACCCCTTTAGAGCCACTGGGGTATAAATTGTTTCGGGCCCATTGAAACCCCTGTGATGTTCTTTTTTCCGGACCATTTTGTGTTGAGCAGATGCGCAACGAAGTGCTCTTTCATTTCATGTGCGGAAACCATAGCTTGGAACAAGCTTTAAGCCTTTCCTGAGCTAACCCTAATTGATTTTTCAAAACTAGGCTTAACCCCAACCTTAACACTAGGCTTAAGCCTCACTAACCCTAAGTCTTGGTGGCCCAGTGGTTCGCGCACTTGCCGGGCAACTTTGAGGTCCCTGGTTCGACTCCCTGTCTAAGCTTTTTGAAAAATTCTTTTTTTGCTAAGGCAAACACTGTCTTTTCTATCATGTTAAGCATACGAAAGAGGTCTGTGAAATCTAGACTGGCCTAACCCTAGCTGAAACCAAATCGTCCACTTTAACCCCTTTAGAGCCACTGGGGTATAAATTGTTTCGGGCCCATTTAAACCCCTGTGATGTTCTTTTTTCCGGACCATTTTGTGTTGAGCAGATGCGCAACGAAGTGGTCTTTCATTTCATGTGCGGAAACCATAGCTTGGAACAAGCTTTAAGCCTTTCCTGAGCTTACCCTAATTGATTTTTCAAAACTAGGCTTAACCCCAACCTTAACACTAGGCTTAACCCTCACTAACCCTAAGTCTTGGTGGCCCAGTTGTTCGCGCACTTGCCGGGAAACTTTGAGGTCCCTGGTTCGACTCCCTGTATAAGCTTTTTGAAAAATTCTTTTTTGCTAAGGCAAACACTGTCTTTTCTATCATGTGAATCCGTCAAGAGGTGTTGCCATTTTAATCCGAAAAGATATTTTAAATTCAGTGACTGTTAGCTCAACTTCTCT